TTGCCATGGTCTTGTAGCATCGGGTCCAGTGAGTTGGGCTGTATGTTCGGCCAATGTCCTCGTCCTTGGGGATGGAAGAACTTGCCGTCTGACATACCCTGCATACCATGCGCTGAGAGATTCATGTCCGACTCCATAGGCATACCATTTGACAGCGGCATGAGGTCATTCGCTGCTGATGCTGCCATGACGAGCGACGGAACCATGTGCGACATCGATCCAGAGCTTGACAGAGGCATATGACCCATGTGTGGTGAGGCAGTTGGAGAGTGATGCAACGACCCATTGAACTGGTACATGGAGGGCATTGCTGGCGCATGCGACATGTCCATCCCATGCGAGAGGCCGCCCATATCAGAGCCATCGGGCCGGTCATCCTGTATCAGAAACTCTTCCAAAAGCCCTGCATGGCTCGCATTGTTGTTGTGGTTGTGGTTGCCATGGTTGTTGTGGGCTTGCGACGGCTGCTTCTCTGCCATGCGCTTCCCAGAGAGGTCCAGATGTTGTCGCGACACCTCGGCCAGCGTCTCAAGTGCAGACAGCTGTTTCGACGGCGCAAAAGGAAGGTTCATCTTCTGGCCATGCTGCATCTGGCTCGGTCCGGGTGCGTTGGTGATGGCCGTCTGCGTCATATTGTCGGGGAGTGGCAGCTCGTGCATCTGCAGCAGCGCGCGCTGGCGGTCTTGAAGCGGTAAAGCGGGACATTTCTTGACGAGATGATTCGTGAGGCTGTCTATGCGACCTTTGGGAAACTGCCATGTGTAAGCTATTATTGCTCACTCTACACCGTCAACTTTTTTGCGGAGCGGGGTCACTCACCTTTTCGCCGCACGACTTGCACGTGTGCTGGTAGCGGTTGCTTGCATCTTCCAGCTTAGGCCCGCGCTCGAAGTACTCGAGAATCAACTGGTTGGGTCGACGACCCATGATGGGCCCAAAAGTTGCGTTCAATTGTGTGGTGGGTGACGAAAGATTACTGCCGGAAGTATTTGGCGGTCAGTAGCCGGCGGTCCAAGAAAGCTGAGGTCTGCTATGGTTGGTCGGTCCGTTAGCCCTCATCTGACATCATAACCCATCTTTCACTCGAGCTTCATAGCTATCACTACTGCGCCAGCGCTATACCTAGATGCCTGAAGTTATTCATTGGCAATCATTTTCACGTATCTGAACGATGCGTCGATATTTGAGTGCTGACAGCGTCCAGCTCGCGGATTTTCAGCAGGAGACCACACGTCATAAGCCGCAAACTCACTAGGCCAGAGAGATGAAGAGAGCGCAGGTGCATAGACACACATGATGCATCACTGTATGCCACGTTTCGGCCTCGAGAGATCATGGACGCGTTCCTGACTAGAGACGCGACTAACCAGGATGCAACGCGCCCTGCATGCGTATACATACGGAGCGAGTCAGGAGAGGTTGAGGCATCCATCTGATCCAAGATCAGCTAGGCTTTTGTCATGACCGCATGATCAAAATAGCGATTCCGCTCCCTTGGTCTTTCTTTTTGGGTAACGAAATCATGACGTCCGCACTAGTCACGCCAAGTCAAGTAGACTAGAATATGGACCACGACATCGACATATCCAGAGACATGTAAATAAATTCCTAATCCATATCTACGCCTAAGCCCACCCATCCACCCTATGCAAACAACTTTTTGAACCGTCAAAATGCCGACAACAAAATCACCAGCCGCAAACCCAACCATCACACCCGACCCATCTCAGAACGGCTCCACGATCCGCAAAGCCTTTCTCCTCGAAGCCTTCGCCAACCTCTTCACCATCCCGCTGATAACAAACACGCGCTGGACGCTCTCTCTGCTCCTCAACAACCCCTCCCGCGACATCAACCCTACCTCAGTCCTCTTTGCTCGTCTGTGCGGCGGTTTAATCGTAGGCGGTCTAACATCCGCTTTACTCGCCGGCGCAACCAATACGCGCAATGGGATCGAGAGCCGACGACCTACGTATATGCTCTTGGGGCTCGGAGAGGCTGCTCTGATCCCAATGATCGTCTTGGATCTGTTGGAGGGAGGAGGGCCGGGTGCGGCGCTGAGCAAGAAGGTTGCTGCAGTCAGTGTGGCGTGTTTGGTGCCGCCGCTTTTGTGGAGGTTGTACGTACTTTTTGTGAGGCCGGATTTACTGGGTCGGTACACGGATGAGAAGACGGGTGACGGTGGTGCAAGGAGGAGTGACGGATGTAAGTATTGTGTGCGGAATGGGCGAAAGTGTACCGCTGATTTGATCTAGATGGTACTATTAATACCCGCGTAGACTGAGACGGTGGAGAAGCTGAGAGATGATCCATGGAAGTGGCATCTCATTCCTTGCAATGCTCTTTCGAAATTCGGTGTCTTGTAGATTGCTTTCCGAATTATCATACTTTTCCATGCCCTATGTGCAGGGCAAATCTTCCTTAAACGCCTCGCTGAAATCATATGCAATGTGTCTCTCAGACCTTCAGATGGTATAGTGCTTAGTCTGCGAAGCCTCCCCACTCCGCCTCGGAATCTTCGTCTTCCTCAGCCTCCTCTGTCATCTCCACCTCCTGCCCCCTCCAAGCTCTTAACCTATCATCAGCCAAAACCTCTTTCGCGGCATTCCTCAGCGTCTTCAACTTGCCCTCCTTGGCCATCCTCTCAATTGGTAACAGCAGAGTCTCCACCGTCTCCTTCTTATCCTCCTTCTCCCACGCCTCTCCCTCAACCTTCTCCATCTCATCGACGTAAACATCCATAACGTGGTATCTCAGTCCATTGGGGATCCGCATATTTTCGCACTCAAGCGGTGTCTCTTCCACAACGGCATTCCATTGTTCCACCAAGTTCTTCTTCCACTTGTTTCTGCTGAGGAAGGTGAAGGACGCGTTGACGTATTGGCGGATGAGGTAGAGGTACTTGTCTAGTCGGAGGGCTTCGATGCGGGTCCATTCGCGGGACATGGTGAGGAAGAAGGCGCGGATGAAGGGGAGTACGACGGGAGTTCGGAGGGCTGAGACTAGCGAGGCGAGGTCGCGCGATAGGCCTTGTTGGAGGGCGGGTTTGTCTTGCATCCATAGGCCTAGAAGCTTATTGTCAGCCTTTGCAAGATGGTATGCGAAGTGGCATGGGAAGGTGTATTGAGCCAAGGCACAAGGAGCGCGTACAGTAAAATAGACCCTTCCATAGCTTCAGCAGGTCTAGTTCTGATATCTCTGATTGCGCGCCGAGGTACGTCTTGAGTGAATCGAGTGCATTGTCGCGAACTTTCTTGTCTGTCGCAAACGTTAGCGTGTACTCCGGTGACTCCAAGGACTTGTTTGTCCATACCGCTAGACGCAAGGTTCCTGATGAAGGGGTTATTTTGCGCGTCTGAAGCCATAATGTGCTATGTGATGTTGCGACGATGTCTTTGCTCTGAGGCCTGACATGCGGGCCGAACTTTTTTTGGAGGGCTCATGGATGCCGCTAAGATAGCGATAAGGCACCGTGGCCGCGCCACAAGCACATTAGCGCACCTTAGAACACTTGAGAGAACACGCGCAGTTCAGGCACGACAATTCATTGCCCTGCGCAATCCTGATGCTAGAATAATGCCTGGATACGTTCTGTATGCTGACCTCGGAATTCGCGTTCTGGAGCGCGTTACGGCTAGAGATACTGCCTAAGAGACCTGTCCTAGGATTCTAGAGACTTCGACGCGTTGTAGATAATGCGGCGTCTAAACGCCTTCTCTGTACAAACCTTTTGTAAGGCTTTTAAAACAATTAGAAAGTATTGTAGATCTAGTTGCTACCTAGGTATTAAAGTGCTAGCTAGCTAGTTACCTAGGTAGAAGGCTCTAAAGCTAGCTAGTACAAACAAGGTAAGGCGTGCTAGCTATGCCGTCCGTGCCTATGCTTACTAAGCAAAACTTGCTGTTAATTACAGTGACGCACTAATTCTAACAGCTAGGTGCCTAACTTCACTTTCCTAACAGCGTAAAAGAGAAACATCTAACGTAAACTATCTACGTTACTAAGCTCTTCTACGTAACAATATTGCTAGAATCTAAGGTCTCTAGCTAGTTCAGACTGCGCTGTCTTCTAGGTATGTTTGTCTAACGCTCGCAGTCTACCCAGATACCTCGTAACGCGATATATGCCTTCTACACAGCTCGATTCCACTACAAAAGATCTCTAGCATGCCGGCTACGTCGAGAAAGAATGCTAACGCAATGCAGTCGCAGCGCAAGGCATGCCATCTATGGTCGTAATCCCGGCTAACGGACACGAGAGGCGCCGCGTCCTAGTAGACCGCGTAAGTACTTCCCAAACCTCGGTTGCACGCGTTCTAATACTAAAACTATTTTTAGGTGCATTCTATCTTGTCAAATCGCGTTCAGAACGGCGTTAGTACCCCTTCACCTCAAGTGGTCCGTGCGCCATGCTGATATCAGGGTCTAGGAGGAGCAGTATCTGGTACGCTGGACATCAAACACGTCGACCACGAAACCTCCGCTCAGCTGGCACTCTGTTAAGGACTTAGTGCGATGCCTAGAGCAGATCCAGGACTACCTTGAAGTGAGGGAGAAGTAAGCGGTATCTCAGTACTAGCTTTCGGCATCTTACTAACCGTTCTAGGGACTTACCGCTACCTTCAGACACAAAACCTTCGAGGAAAAGAAAGAGTCCTGATGGGGGTTCGTCGTACGAACGCCGCTCTTCACCATTCGATCGACGACTACAAGAGAGTCGTACGCCGTCAGCCTCTCGATCTTCATCCGTGTCATGTGCAGCAACAGTCACGTCTCCAGCTAGTGATATATACAACGGCGTTTTGGATGCTGATCAATATGGCCATGTCTTCTGTAGACAAGTGAGTCTTTACGATCAGGTTCCCTTCGGGTCCTTCACTGACATGTGACAGGCGGCAGGTCATGACATAGCCGAACTTGACATTCGCACCGTGCCCACGCCAGAGATGAACCGCATTGCGCATCGTTCGAGTGTCGACAAAGCACTTATGTACATCCGCAATGAGTATGTCCGGAGACTAGCTAAGGTACCAGGCAGACCCATTCACTTGTTCAATGTGGTAGACAAAGCCACTCCATCACTGCGCTTCCGGTACATCTCTGAGTACGTTCTGGATGAGCAACAAGGCGTCTACCGCGCGTCAGTAGAAACACAGCAAGGATGCCAGCAGTGTTCACCCCACATGGGTCGTGGCATCGGATGCGAATACACAAAGAAGTGTGACTGTCTGGAATACGCTGCAGTGGATGAGAGCCGCCTCGATGAAGAAAGAAAGCGGGAATACCAACTTGCGCTCGAAAACGGAGATTCAACAATGGGCTTTCCGAAGAAATTCCCTTACTTCGCCGAAGGCACGAAACGAGAGAAGACCGGCTGTCTCGTACCCTTTTACCTCAACTCCCGTCGTCCAATCTACGAGTGCAATGATAAGTGCAACTGCGGCCCCAATTGTCGCAACAAGAACGTTCAATTCGGGCGGCAGGTCGAAGTTGAAATCTTCCGAGCGAACGACGGACGTGGCTGGGGTCTCCGCTGCAAACAAGATCTGCACGAGGGCCAATTCATCGACACCTACCGCGGCGAAGTCATAACAGATGCCGAAGCCACACGCCGCGAAACCTCGTCGTCAAAAGCCAAAGCGTCTTACCTCTACTCCCTCGACAAATTCGCTGAGTCAGAAGGCCTCAAAGAAGAAGATCTCTACGTTGTGGACGGCGAGTTCATGGGCGGACCGACAAAGTTCATCAACCACTCGTGTGACCCGAATTGCCGGCAGTACACCGTCTCGTACAACAAGCATGATCCGAGGGTCTATGACATCGCGTTCTTCGCACGGAGGTTCATCCCAAAGGGCGAGGAACTGACGTTCGACTACCTTGATAAGGAAGAGGGGGAGGAGATGGATGAGCCGGGTGAGGGGGCGCTTCCTTGTCTTTGTGGCGCGAAGAATTGCCGCAAGTGGCTGTGGACGTGAGGATAGTGCCGTACAAGCGCACGCGACATGTGGGAAACTTTGGGTCGGTGTCCCAGAGAGGAGCCGATGGCTGTCAGATTGGTGAGGGGGTTATGTTCATGTGACGGCTGCATTGCTCTGCATCAGCGATGAGCGTTCTGGCGTCTGCATTTTCATTTTGTCAACTATGATACAATTCCATATGCAATTCTCCTTTTAGAAGCCTTTTTTCATGTCTAACGTTGTCTTTGTCCATGCTGATGGGTAGGCGCAACTAATCGCCCACGTTTTTCGTCGTCCGTCTATCAGTACCTAGGCATCGTCCAGACTGAACCACCAATTGCATCACTAACTTACTTCCTGAACTACACCCATCACACCAGCACACAGCTAGGTGAATCATAATTGCGTAGAACACAACATAGATGTAGGAAAAAGTGGTACGGGCCGATAAGTTACCCGGTAGCACAGTTAGCGCTCGGGCCACCACCCACGCTCCCACCGAGAACCATTCAGTCTCTTGACCCCCAACTGCAATTTTCCGCCCCATCTACTTTTTTATTTCTCTTCGTAATGAAGCCTAGCCTGCCTAACGAGGTAGACCGAGAGGATACGCCTGATCCGCCGGTGGTGGATTACCTTGACCGACTCCGAGATGACCTGTTGGAACGACTCCGTTGGGACGTTTTCGGCTCGTTGAACGACATCCAAGTCAAAGATCCTGGAAATGCTCTCACGCCCTTCATGGGCGCCAGCATCGCCTCAGAGTCCTTGGCAAGTCCCCCGTTCACCAAAATCTCGGTCTACATCGACGTCTGCGAGGAGAAACGCAACATGGACGAGCAAGAGGAGGAAGACCGATATGCTGCCCCAGAGCCGCTGATCATCGACAAGGAGGATGGCTCTTCTATATCCTTACATGATTTCGTCTCGCAAGTCCACTCATACCTCAATGTCTATAAGCATGAGATTATGCAATGCGAAGACGAACTGTACATGAATCCGGTGGACTTGGGCGACGGTGTCAAAGCGGTGGAGGTAGTCCCTGATGATGATGCCAGGGACTGGGCAGATGGATCTGGAGAGGACCCGGAGTTCAGTCATTTCCTTCGAAGCGGCAACATCCCAGAAGGAAGTCGAGTCTTTTTCGATAGGGCTATGATCAACCAAATCGACCAGGACGAATATAGTATTCACGTGGTTCTTTTCGTTGAGGGCAATGATGGAGAAACGCTGGATTCGTTTTGGGAAAGGAAAAACAGGCTGTAGCAGCTCACCAAGATCAAGCAGAGTCAGCGCTAACAGCGACCGTTCCCTTTCCTGCCTAAGTCGATGCCCTGAATCGTGGCGCTAACGGTGTGCTGAGCGACAGGCAGTCGAAGGCCCTATTCAGTGCGGACCAGGAAACCCTTGTCTTGACGGCTCCTGCTGTACGTATCCCCATTGTCATATATCCAAGAACTGTGCTAACATGAACGTCCTTTCTAGGCAACTCTGACGGTATTTAGAATCCATTTCTCATCCTTACTCGAGTCACAACTAATCCCGTCGCTCAAATTATAGGTAAATGTGGTTTCAAATCGAACAATTGTGGCGAGAAGTGTATCTCCAATTGCGATGCGAAAGCAATGTGTGGCATTGATTCAGCCGATGGACAGACTTCATGTGGCTTGAAATCCTGTTGCTCTTTCTACGGCTGGTGTGGCACAGAAGATGTACATTGTAAAGATCCCGGGCCTCAGTATGGTAAGTACTACAAGACACACACTCGGCGCGATGTTTGAAGCCACTGTTTATCAATTGTAGGTAAAACGCCTTGTCAGGTTGGCTTTGGCTCTTGTGACATCAAACCTTCCCCATCATGTGGGGACTACATTGATCATGATTGCCTAGAACACGGGATAGTGCGTCGTACTACAATGTTCTGCCACTCATCAACTGACACGTATCAAGTCTCGAACGACTCTGACATCAAGTCTCCGAAAAAGTACCAGTGAACCCCGCAGTGGTCTACCACACGCACCAAAGTCCTCGAGATTTAGCCTTGTGTCAGGCCAAGGGGGGATGCAGTACCTCACCTCAGCGGGTCAGGAACCAAAGTCTCGACTCGAATCAATGTGCGCGGTCTTCGCTTTTGGCCATGCCACCCCAGTGATCTCGCCGTGGAAATGCACTTCGGTCGCGGAGTGGCAACTTGTTGGGCTCACAGTTCAACAGCGAAGGTTTTCGAGCTGTGATGAACGAGGACGATAACTGCCAATAACCTCTCCTCGATATGTTAGTAGTGATGGCAAGCTACGCAGACCAAGTCACGGTCACCAAACTATGACATCCGGAGAAGGAGCAGCGGATCTCATTACATGCGCTGTAAGATACCCGAAGGCTCAGCGCATCCATCTGAAACATGACCCTTATGATGATCGTGATCTTCACGCGACCGGCCCCGCGGCACCTGACAGTGCGGTTTTGGTACACGGCTACGAACCCGAGATCGCATTTACTGAGAAGTGGATTATAATTTCGTAAATGGATCCGAAACAGTAAATTAGAAGCGTTACAATTGGGCGAGACGGTTGCATTGTGACTATCGTGCAGTCGTCACATATAGCGCGGTGATCACCCGTCTTGCGCTGACACGTAAGTATCGTGATATCTGGTACAAGAAAAAAGTAAAACAACATGTCCACACCGTGTAAGCCTCGATATACGTCAGTTGAGTATGTACTTCCCTATTAAATCCACAAGTTGTACCCGGTCAGGGTCTCTCTGCATACCACAAGTCCACTTTCAAGATTGCGCAACCAAAGCACTTCCTTAACAGTGACTCCGGTCTCACTGTGCCACCATAACCTCGCTGCGACACCGACATGCAAATGTTTTCTACCATTCTAGAAAAGCTGCGGCTTATTCCCAACACAACAAACGAGGGAAAGACACAAGACGAAGAAGGCATACCATACGTCCAACTCAACGACGAATACGACACAACTCTCCGGTTATCATGGACAAACGATCCAAAGAAACTGTACTTGTCTGCGTGTTTCGATCCGAAGCGCGAGGCAAATGTTGCAAAAGACTACAACATTGAAGGTCTTTGTCCAGTGGTCAAAGAAACCAAAGGCGATGAATTCATACTACGGGACAACGACGGCCGGTATTATCTTTGGGACGCATGGGTTGGTGAGTTGATGAAGTTCCGGGATTGGTGGTTCGAAGGCTTCACGACAAAAGAAGAGTTAGTGGAGAACCTGGTGTGCAACATGACAGAAGCGCAAGCGGACGTGGAATTCATCGAGCGGAAGCGTAGAGACAGTGTGGTAGACTAGTCTTACCCTGCATCGTGTAGTCGACTTGAAGATCGGAATCGGGATGCATGCGAGGCGACGCGGGGCGAGGTTGGGAGAAAGATGTAGTTTAAACTTTAAGCGACGACGTCGGGAGCCAATGAAGAATGCAGACCCTGACCCACCATTTTTCGCGCCCCATTTTGCTGGTCCGTGACTCCGACGCAAAGGGACTACCACTGATAAAAGCGTCGACACGGTGATCGTCGCTTGCCATGCCGATACCTGACTGAGACGCGTAGTACACGGAAGGGTTCTGCTAGCCTGGAATCTCTCTAATCAAACAACAACATGCCTCAGTATCTCGTCCGGCTTGCGCAGGCGCATGAGAGTTTTCGCAAAGTCGAACTGCAAGCGCTAGCCGATATTGCTGGAGTGCCTTTACACTTCGTCAAGTATGAAGAAGATGTAAGTAGCTTTTCTTTCACCCAGCAGTCTTACCGTCTCAACTTCATCAGTCGCGTCTCTCGCAGTGTTGTTTTGGTTCAGATCCCGAAAAAGCAATCCGAGTGTCGCGTCACGCCTTACAAAAGCATACATTTCTGACGATCAAAGTCACCCTACTGCATCGTCGATCTGCCGTCAGAGGCTGCGGCACGAAAAGCCATCGCACGGAGCATCCTCGCACAGGGCATCTACGAGCTATGGGGTCAGGGATCAACATACGACGCCCTTCACGACTCCGTCCGCAGTCTGACCACATCCTGGTGGCCGCAGTACATTACGGCATCTTTCCGCTTTACCATAGAAGGCTATCGCGGAAGTAGATCAAACGATGAGCAGCGCGACATCATCGACAGTTTCTCCTACATGGCCTTCAAGGGACCACCGCGGATGCGAAACCCAGATGTCGCGTTCCGTGTCTTTGAAGATTACGATCTTAATGTTAAGAAGCCAAAGTACATTTACTTTGGTCGCTTCATCGCCGACTCGTGTCGCAACGAAGCCAAGAAGACGTTTGATCTTAAGAAGAGACATTACATCAGCACTACATCGATGGACGCCGAGCTCACGCTGCTAACGGCTAACATCGCACACGTGGCACCGGGAAAGTTGTTTTACGACCCTTTCATGGGCACGGGCGGCTTCCCGATAGCATGCGCTCACTTCGGAGCAGTGGTGTTTGGGAGTGACATTGACGGGCGCACTATCCGCGGGCTAGGAGGCAGCGCAAGAAGGGGACAGACGGGCAAGTACGACGTCGTCGGCAACTTCAAACAGTACGACTTAGAGTCCAGCTACCTAGGCGCCTTCGTCTCTGATCTCACAAACACCCCACTGAGAATACCGCCACCCACCAAAGACCGCACGACAGGCTACCTCGACGGCATCGTCTGCGACCCACCCTACGGCATCCGCGAAGGCCTCAAAGTGCTAGGATCCCGGCAAGCGCTGCTCGACGTAGAACGCCAATCGCACCAAGACCAATTCAAAGAACCCGGGTACATACCCCCGAAGCGGCCCTACTCCTTCACCGCACTGCTCGATGACATACTAGCCTTTGCAGTCGCAACACTAGTCCCCGACGGTCGAATCAGCATGTGGATGCCCACGGCGAATGACGAGGACATCGAGCTCATCATCCCGAGCCATCCTTGTCTCGAACTGACGTCGGTTTGCGTCCAGGCGTTTAACAAGTGGTCACGTAGACTGCTGACGTATCGGCGGCGCAGGGAGGAGGAGGTGCCTGAGGGGGCGGCGGAGGCGGTTAGGAGGGAGTATGAGAAGGGGACTAGGGCTAGTGAGTTGAATGATTTTAGGAGGAAGTATTTTCAGGGGTTCAAGGAGTTTGAGAGTATGAAGAAGGAGTTTATTAGGATGAAGGTGGATGCTAGGGCTGGGGAGGAGATGGCTGGTGCTGGAGAGACGCGCAGTGTTGCGACGGAAGATGATGCCAAAACGTAGATCATGTGTGCTTCGATACACAGTCAAGAGCTAGGAGGAGCTATCCTGCCCAAAAACGCCTATCCGATACCCACCATCAATGAGTGATCACTTCCCCTCCCCAGGATTAACCCTCGCCCTCCACTTCCCATCCTCCCCCTTCTCCAGCACAACCCTCTTCTCCGCCGCCATCAACGCAAAACTATCTTCATTCTTCTCAAACCACACCTGCCCCTCCCTTGCTCTCGATACACAAAGCACATCAGTCTGTGCGACCATAGTACCACCGGCAGCGAGCGCTAGAGCACCAGCCGCTAGAACTGGGCGCATGCTGGACGTTGCTATCTTGCCACGGGTGTGGTTCTGGAGATGAAGACGGTTGATAATGGGTGTGCCCGGTGGAGATGGAAATGGAGGTGGCGGGGGTGGAGTTGATGGAGACGGGGGGTTCGGCCGTTTGAGTGGAGTGCGCACTAGTGGATCAGATAGCCAGAAGCGGTGTGTGATCCTGGGAATACAGCCTGACATGGACTTTGGAAGATGGGATAGGAGCGACATATTTCCAACTGCCTGGATGAAATGATTTCAGTAGGGAAGGACGAAGGCTACTCGGGTGTGAGGTTGAGTTGGTATGTTGTTTGTCCATAGGTTTGATGCAATCGGGAAGAGAACGAACAATGAAAAACAGAAGGCATATGTGCGCTACATGACACTATGCGTGGTGTTGCGATGGCACCGTCCGCTGGTGCTGTCACTTCACTGGTATCTGCGCTGAAGTTGCTTTCACTGAGATGTACTGGAGCAAGATACGGCCGTGAAAGCTTAGCGTTCTTGCATGCTCCTCCAACTGTCTCCGTATAGCGTTGGAGAGGAAGACAAGACGACTTCGGGTATCGTCCGCGCAATGCTGCAACCAAACACGATTGTGAAAGCCCTAGTTCCACAAAGCAGAGCGATCAACGCATTTGTCGCAAACCATTTTCCTACTCTTCATCCCCAGGACATATCCGGCACTGAAATTCACCATGCTCATTCTCTGAT